GCTCCACAGATTGCTCCGCGCACTAAAGTTGTACTACAAAGTCGCCAGTTCTCATCTTCCAGCTCCCCAGATACTCCGCCTTCTAAAGTTGTACTACAGCTTCGCCAGTTCTCATCTTCCAGCTCCCCAGATACTCCGCGTACTAAAGTTGTACTACAAAGTCGCCAGTTCTCAGCTTCCAGCTCCACAGATTGCTCCGCGTACTGAAGTTGTACTGGAAAGTCGCCAGTTCTCATCTGCCAGCTCCCCAGAGACTCCGCGTGCTCACGTTGTACTACAAAGTCGCCAGTTCTCAGCTTCCAGCTCCACAGATTGCTCCGCGTGCCAAAGTTGTACTACAAAGTGGCCAGTTCTCATCTTCCAGCTCCCCAGATACTCCGCGTACTAAAGTTGTACTACGATCAGTGGCCCGACTGTAAGCCACATTCGCACGAGTGTAGCATTCCGAATCAAAGTCACTGTTGCGCCTGTTCCCACTTAGAAAGGTGGTTCGTCCTTGCAACACGATGCAATGCCTCGGAGTGGCTCCCGCAACTTTAACTGCTGTTTCCGCATTGGCTTGCTTGCCCTTGGCTTGCAAATGTGCCTGCAGCGCAAGCGCGCTGTTACGGGTGGTGGTAAGGACCAGCGTGGCATCGCTACCCACTGAATTATGTGGCAGCAATCGCTCAATTAGTTGTACGTTTGAATGGTTGGCGCCGGGGGGGATTTGCTTTGGCATCTTCATTGGTGGTGATGTGTTGCCAATTGACCAAGCGAAGCCCTGTGGCGACTTGGAGGCAGTGCCGGTTTCTTTTTTTGCACAAGTATGGACGCCGTGTGTGCGGTATGCACAGGTCATCATTCTAATGTTGGAAACTCTGCAAGTCGTGATAGGGGGAAGCAAAACAACAAACAAACCACACCACACAAACAAAAACACCAACCCAACAGAGACCCCCCCAAGCCATCACTTTCAGAGTTTCGATCTGTACAGGAGGGTGAAACAAAGTGAAACGTGGATTGACTGTAATTATCTACTCGGGCCTCGAATTCTCCAAAATCATCTGCTGTTCATGCTTGTTGAGCGGCTTTGTGTATTCCGGCTTGGTTCGGACCAGCCAGCACACAGGCGCTAGCCACTGGAGTGCACAAGGAACACTCCACATCCTGCACAGGGAGGGCAGGATATCAATTCAGCAGTCTGCGAATGGGAGAGCAGTGCGTGATGGTTCCCTGTAAACGCGGGTAACCTTGAAATTGCTCGAATGCAATGCATTTCTGGCCTTGGAAACCAGTCAGCAGCTGGTCACAACCATTTCAAACAATTGGAAAGCCAGAGGGAGCTGTGGCCTGTGGTGGGCGTGCGTCATAACAAGGCATTGCAACATGCGCCATCAGCGCTAGACGAAAACCTCCCTCAACAGAGGGAGGGGTCGCGCACGTATCCAGCAAACTCCTTAACAGCAAAGCCTACAGGAGCGGGAAGTGTGCGAGATGCAATCAAGGACAGATAGAGTCGGCATTCATCAATCGGCTGCCTCCTTCATGCATGGCCCTTGTGAAACATTGTGAAACGTGAAACCAGAAAAAACCTGGTGCTATGTGTCCGCTTTGTACAAGATTGGCTGAGTACGGACCCTTCCCAGGCGAGGAGCTAAGGCTCTCACCCAGGCGCCAATCAGCTACCGTCGCGCGCAGACACCGGTCAGGAGCTAAGGCTCGCAACCAGGCCAGCTCACTAGCAGCGCACAAACATGGGCACATTGGGTAGAGATCACCTTCGCCTCAAAACGACCATCTTTTCTTCTGTCAGCATGGTCAACGGAGGCACGCACGCATGCATGCTGAGCGTTTATGCTAAGCACCGTTCTGATTTGCGAAGCATCAGCTTGTTTAGATTGCTGCGTAATCATAGGGGCCATCGCAACACAAGGCTGGCTTCGAAAGGTCCTATGCAGACTGACTAGGCAATATTCTCTCCCCTTCGCTTGGCCTAACTTGCTCATGATTCGCATTAGTAAAGTGCGATCGGGAGACGCTATGCATGCCGTGCAATGGGGTACGAGTGAGATGTTTGACCTTGCATATCAGCTAGAGTTTTGTATGGCGAGTGGATGTGGTCAGCAATTCCCCTTGAAGCGGGTACTTGACATTGAGACTGTTTTCTCATGGGCTTAGCCTAAGTCCGACATCGCCATTGCGGCCATCGCCATGCTGGGCAAAGTGCAAATGCATTCTCTTCCGCATACGTCCCTCTCCAAGTAGTTCTTCTGCCTGGCATTCTTGTGAGCCTCCTCAAGACCGTACAACCGAGGAAAGCTCTGCTGGCGATGTAATGGAGTGAGGGTGGAATAGCGAGTTCTTGCAATGCCGCGCAGTCCATAAAAGCTTTCACATGGATTGTGTGTACTGTGT